GGCTGCTGCATACATTAGTCTGCTCTGGAGCCCTCCTTCCTGAGCTAAGACAAAAATGTGTGAGCCGGAGGCTAAAAAACTGTCAGCTAGTTCACACTAACTCACCCTAGAGGGAACACTGGCCCAGGGGGGGGGTTAAGGGGTCCCGCCAGCAGTGTTCCCTCTAAGCTGAGTTAGTGTGAGCTAGCTGACAGTTTTTTAGCCTCCAGCTCACAGATTCTTGTCTTAGCTCAGGAAGGAGGGCTCCAGAGCAGACTAATTTACACAGTAGCCAAATTGCTCGCTCACAAGTGTAATGCCAGTAGCTCACAAAATAGAATTTTTGCTCACAAGACTCCACAAATTAGAGGGAGCATTGCTCACCAGGTGTGTGATATCCCACCTTTCCTCCCAGCGCACGGTGGCATACAGGGCATAGTTTTTAGAACTTACAAAAACAAAGCTGCAAATCAAACATGCAGCTGGACAAGAGTTAGCAGTGGAGCACCACCAGTCTGTTCCATGGCTGTTGGAATACTGCTGGGGGTGTGTGTGTGACAAAACTTGACACTGCGCTTTCACACACACTAAATAATGCACTTCCAGTCCACTTTGCAACTGGATTTTACTGTGTGATCTGGCAAATTCCGCTTGCAAAAAGTCACTGGAGTGGATTAAAACTGTGTTATTCAGCATGGGTCAAAGTGCCCGCTCTCTGAGAGCTGGTTTGGTGTAGTGGTTATGAGCATGGATTCTAATCTGGGAGAACTGGGTTTGATTCCCCAGTCTACCACATGCAACTGCTGGCGTGACCTTGGGTCAGTCACAAGTTCTTTCAGAGCTGTTCTCTCACAGGGTGTCTGTTGTGGGGAGGGGAAGTAGACCGTAAGCCCCTCTGAGACTCCTTCAGGAAGCAAAGGATGGTGTATAGATCCAATCTCCTCCTCCTTTCAGCATGACAGGGTCAGTGTAGGGATAAAGCAGAAGAAAGACGAACCATGCATTTAGGGCGCTATTATCCCATCTTTGCTCCAAGGAGCTCAGGGTCACGTGCATCAGTCTCCTCTTCCCCAGCGTATCCTAATAAATCCTGAAATGTAAGTCAAGGCTGAAAGCGAGACATTGGCCCCACAGTGAGCTCCATGGCAGAGTGGGGATTTGAACGGCATCAGTCCCCAGTCCTCATCCAACACTGACCAGCATGGTGCAGTGGTTAAAGTGTTGGCCTAGGATCCGGGAGACTCAAGTTCGAATCCCCACACGTGTCACGGAAGCTTGCTGGGTGACCTTGGGCCAGTCACACTCTCCCATGGTGTTTCCCTCACAGGTAGATTCAAGTGGACAGCCAGGTTGGTATGAAGCAGCAGAACAGAGTTTAGAGTCCAGTGCCACTGGACTCGAACTTTGTTCTGCTACCTCACAGGGTTGCTGTGAGAACAAAACAGAGGAGAAGAGAACAGTGTAAGCCGCTTTGGGTGTCTGTAGGGGAGGAGAAGAAGAAGAGCTGGTTTTTATACCCCACTTTTCTCCCCCCTAAGGAGTCTCAAAGGAGCTTACGATTGCCTTTCCCTTCCTGTCCCCAGAACAGGCACCTTGTGAGGTAGGTGGGGCTGAGAGAGCTCTGAGAGAACCGTGACTGGCCCAAGGTCACCCAGCTGGCTGCATGTGGAGATGTGGGGGACCAAACCTGGTTCTCCAGATTAGAGTCTGCCACTGTTAACCACAACACCACACTGGCTCTCTGGAGAAAGATGAGATATAAATAAAGCAAATAAATTAAAACAAAAACAAACAACACGACTTCTCTATGGCTCTTTACTTCCAAGTAAATTTCCCTGGCTTCTGGATGCCAAAAAGCTGCATGCTGAGTTTTAACTGGTGCCTACTGAAAGCATGGTTTTATCATTGTTCTGTTGTAAGCCGCCCGAGCCCCATGCTGGGGGTGGGGGAGGGGCGGGATAAAAACCGAAACAAACACCAGTCTCTATAACACCTACCTGGGCGTAAGTTTCACCGCCACCAGGCCCCTAGGCCTGGGATACGGTGAGAGTCGGCAAGCATTTTGCGCATCGCACTGCAGCGTGCGGGAGCAGGGAAGAGCACCGCGGGAGGAGGAGGAGGAGGAGGCACCGCCGCCGAGAGTTCTCCCCGGTCCAGCTTCTCCTCCACCAGTCCTCGCTCTCTTTCCTTCCTTTCCTCCGTCCCTGCTGCTGGGCGCAGGGCGCTCGCCTTCGCGCGCCGTCCGTCCGTGCGGCCCGGCCCGGCCCGGCGCGTCCTCCCTCGAACTGCAGGGTGCAGGCGTCAGCCAAGGCGGCCGGAGGAAGGGAGGCGGAGGCGGCGGCGAAGGAGGAGCCAGGCCGGCCTCCTTCCCTTCGGCTCGGCGAGTCCATTTCCCCAGCTCGAGTGACACAAACACGCCAGGCGAGCGCCCAGCCCGGATCTTACAAGCCCCCTCGCCGCCGCCGCCTCCTGCTCCAGCTCCGCGGCGCTCCGGAGTGCACGGCCGATCCCCTCCCCGGGGCTGCACCGAAGACGCGCGCGGGGAAACTCCGGCTGGCGAGGCGAGGCGAGGCGGAGGGAAGGGGAGGGGGGCACGACGCCAGCTTCCTGCTTGCAAAGGAGCGGGGAGGAGAAGGAGGGACCGGGCCGGGGGGAGCTGCTGCGCGCAAAGAGCCCGAGCGAGCGAGCGAGAGGGAGGCCGGGAAGCCGCCGGAGCAGAAGCCGCCCCGAGGTAGGTGGCCAGCCGCGGGGATGCCGCCGCCTCCTGCCCAGCGCCCGGGCACCCCGACAACATGTCTTCCCGCCGCCGCCGCCGCCCCCCACCCGCCTCCAGCTGTCTCCACCCTGC